TTTAAAAGAACGTCTAATGGTGGTACTGTCAAATTTTTTATTTATTAAAAAACAAAACGACATTTCAGCCGTTTGGACGATGTCCCAGCCCTCATCAGGTACAAAAATCTATGAGTAATAAAAAAATTCTTTACAATACAAATTTTAATAAGTACAATAAACGCAATCTTAGTGAAGTGTATAATATACCTCTGACTCTTACGAAGGGGACGTAAAATGGTAATGTAGTCTGAGTTTCAAGTTTTGTTGCTTTTATACCCTGCACATGCACAAATGACATAGTATACGCACATAATACAATCAAATAAGAATTGCAAGCAGTTCCTTGTGAGACATACGTAAACAAATCATGTTTTGTATTACCATAAATGAAAGGGGCCCTCAAATCATGTACATTAAGTTAGCCTCCTTTCTTAATTGAATTAACGAGAGACGTGTAACAATTTTTTTACATTTCTGTATCTTGTTATCAATTAATATTATTATTGAAATAATCTATATTTAACATTTCGGAAAACAGGCGCTTTTTATAATTTTCTTCGGTGTCTAAAATTTTTATTTTAATAAAATTGCAGGTGTTGTTTTAATTTAATAAAAAGTTTCAACCCACTGTAAAAGCTTATCTTAACCGCAACAAGCTATATTTCAAAGTTTTTGACAAGAACACGTGATGAGTAAAGTACCTTGATGATCAATTAACAAATTCTGAATAGTTTTAAAATCTTATCCTCCAATGTTATTTTTATTGTCAAGCGTTTAAATTACACTGTATAATGCTGTCACATCTCATATCATACACTTAATATTTATTACTTTGAAGCACGAAGTTTCGTTCTAAATTATAAAAATCAAAAGCTCAGCAATTTACTAACATCGAGCGATACACCTGCTTTTACAATCACGTGACGTATAACTTATTCTTTTGAAACAAGCTACCATCGCAAAACTCAAACTACGCGTACAACCTCCAAAAATCTTATAAAGCTCTCATCTTACATCAATTTGCAGTGCTACATCAAAAAATGCAAATAATCAATAATTTCAATATTCTTTACTACAGATGTACACAAGAATTATCATACACGATTTCGACAGCAACTTGTACTTAATGTAAAATCCGAAAGATCAGCAGTTTTAACTATTAATTACTGCGTAATTATTGCACCACGACTGTGCTCGTGTCAATCGAGAGTAATTAGATTAAGCTCTGATTGGTCGTTCGGATCCCCAACTTGACGTGTCCTCCATAAGTGCAAGTGTATAAAAACTCCTTGCAGATAACAATATTTGCCTTTTCTTTTTCATCAAGTGCTCCAAAGTAAATGTAAGGGTTAGAGACGGAGTTCTGTTGCGTATTCCAAGTGGATGTAAGACTTAGTTGTATGATTAAGCTACGTGTTAGAAGCGTGCATTTCAAGCAAATATAAGACTAAGTTTGATGAATAAACTGTGTGAGAAAAGCTCAAACAAATCAGACCACTGTAGACTCGCCTAAAAAGTGAATCAAAGAGGTACAAGAAAGAAAAGACCGTCAATTTCGTTTCCAACGTTAAAAGCAGCAGCCTAATTATTGTCATCACCACGAGTACTCTCATGTTGAATTAGGATCATTTTTGTGATCAACCTTGTAAGATCTTGCGACTGTGTGCGCGCAAGCAGTGGCTGACCAACGAACATAGGAGTAAGTTAAGTTACGGAAACTCTAAATTGTATAAACGGTGTAAATGCGACTCTGAAACTTTATTATTTATACTATTTGTAAAATCAACTATTTCCGGCTTTTTGAAATTTATTAAATCATCAGATAAAACACAACTTGATTGTTGATTGAATTTTTTTTCTTAATTAAAAAAATATTTTAATAACTAAATTATATGAAACATTTCAAGATTTACTATTCTAATGATTTGATACGTAGTTCTTACCTTGATTTATAAATTGAATATCGAGGAAAAATTAAATAGACAACGTATGACAAAGACCTTTACAAAGACGTGAGACAAAAATCTTAATAAGATACACTACTACTGCATTACATAAAATATAAATGCAAGCAGTAGGTCAACGCCAGCTAGTGTACGACACACTAACACAACGTTGTACAAATCACTCAGCGAAACCTAACACCAAAACGCTGAGTCAACGATTTAGAAAGAAAAGTATACTGTAAGTAAAAGCAAATAAGGCCTTTAAGCTGATTTTTCACGTGATAGGAAAAAGCCCGTCAGCTGCCTTCTTCATCATATTTGCATGCTTAACTCTAGTATCATATAATAAAGAACAACTTTGCAATCTTATTAACGTTCCTTATACAATTTTTTACCCATACAGTGTCTAAAAGTTATACTTTTCCAAAACTTTCTTCATAATTGAGCAGTCCATTTTTGACCATTTCTCTCGTTGACTACATGTGAGTATGTTTATTTGATTGAATATTAAAATTTCTCCTTATTTTACTTAAAAGTTAATACGTTGTACAATTCGTGACAATTGAAAATGTAAGGTTTATAAAATAAAAAAGACAGTGCACATAAAAGCACACTGAATATTTTCTTATACGAACTTGTATATGAATATAT